TATAAGTTTTGTTAAAAGGGTTAGTACTCATGTTTATCGACATTTTGTATACCTCTTTTTTTAAGGCATTAAGTTCTCTAGTATACCACTTTGGTTTGGCTTTTTTGGTGTTTTTCTTTTTACTTTTAATTACATGTTTTCGAAGACTTTTACCAGCTACTTTAATGTAGATGTTTGATAGCATTGAGCTCGCTGAGCCAATGGATTGTTTTGAGCAATCAAAATGCTCTCCACAAAACCTTTCTATCAACACAGCAATTTCTTTACTCATAATAGCCTCATAATAGTGATAACTGGAGTGTTTGTCCCATTTGTAAGAAATGTTTGGCTGTATATGATTAATAACCTGGATGGTTTCTGTTCTGTTTTGGTTTTCATGAACAGTGTCAAACAATTTGTTTGTTTCAATCCGAAATGACATCTGACAGTGGTCAGAAAGATTTAGATTCAGATCATGAATTTGGAAAAGATGACATTTTTTGAATAAATCATGGCTGACGATAGTGTAGTCAACCACACTACTGCCTGCACTTTGATGACATGTAAATCTGCCTAGTTTGTCACCTATGCATCTGCCATTAAGTATGACAAGATCTGAAGAATTACATAGATCTAAAAGGTGATTGCCATAATTGTTTTTGGTTTTTATATCCTGAGAATTTCTTTTTGTAAATGATATGTTTTCTTGGGAAAATTTATACTGTGAATTTTTGAAAAGGGCAACATCTAGATCATTAGTATGTACGTAATGACCGACTTCTCCGATGTTTCACCGGCCGACTTCCCCACTGGCCGACTTCTCTGATGTTCACTGGCCGACTTCTCGCACTGGCCGACTTCTCCGTTGTTTTGCTGGTCGACTTCTCTTGTTACCGTTATAACCCGGGGTTATAACAGGTATAAAAGCTCTTATCTCAGTCGGTCAACGCTTATCAAGCCAGCCTGGTACTGGAGTTATTCAAATATTTGACTTTGTGTAATCATTGACGGAATTACCTAAAGGTATTTTACAATAATATATTATCGCATTTTCATCACAGTGTTTACATATTTAAATTACTCTGATTATTACTTTGGCTCTCAGCAGCGTGTGGAATGAATTACCAATCTCAAAATCATGTGACCATTTCGAATTTTGATTTTCACCGATCGTATATATTAATTATACCCAATTATTAAAAGTAAGGGGTTCTCGTACAAAAACAATATACAATTGTTGCAAGAATAATTAGATAATGCCAAAATTAACTAAATATAGTAGCACACAAAAAAATCGTTAAAATCGTCTACGTACAAGTACACTAACCAGTGGCAATGTTAAATAAAAATTAAAATTCCAATTTATAGAAAATATATATGCAAACTCAGAATTAGTGATCATAATTTAATGATAGAGAAAGGTCGTCATACTAGACCAAAAACAAAAGCGGATGATAGAATGTGCGAAAGGTGTGGTACTAATAAAGTTGAGGATGAATTTCACTTTCTGATTGATTGTCCACAACACAAAGAAGCAAGAATGAGACTATTTCAATCAGCACAAACCTCAAATCATAATTTCACATGTTAGATAATGAAGCAAAGTTTATACTAGTAAATATTATGGGCAACATACATATAGAACTGGCAATTTATATTAACGAAAGTGACATTTTCTAAACCATTTTCATCTCTTCTTTTTGTTGTTGATATTCTTGTTTTGTTTCTTAGAATAGTGTTTGACTATGTTCTATTCAAAATGAAAAATGTCAATAAAGTTATTATGTTATTATGTTATGAACGCTATATTATGTTTAATGTACAATTTCTGTGAATATATTCCCCTATTACTGCATGTGTACAGAAAGGTGTACTAGATTGGTTCAGTAAGTTATTTTGGTTGTTGTGTGCACCATGAAGCTCCATGTGTAACTAACCGACTGACTTGGCAGTGAATGACTTGTTTATTTGTTCATGTATAATGCTGGAGATTGTCTTCATTTCAGACAATTCTTTAAACTAATTAAATACAAGTGTAACAATGCATGACTCTGTAACAATTAAAGTTCAGACGTTAGAACCCGTGCATTTAATCTCCTTCCTGTTGTTCTTTAAACAATCTCAAACCCACTCTATTTTTTTTTCAGTTGAAACCCTTTAAAATCAGGGGCTTGCCAATAGAAGTACATATACAAGAATAAATAAATTACCACATGTCTTGCTAGGTCCGCAAGTCCCATTTTCTGACTCCATCCGAACAGGGACTAATGATCTGTTGTAAAGAGGTGCATGGGCGAGACAGTCAATATCGACATTTATCAATATTTTCCCTTCACTCCAAGGCGGCAAAATATCAGGTGGTAACTTTACACATTCCATTGTGATGTAAACAATCAATAATTATGGTCTCTGTACAAGTTTTCACTGAGCAACATGACTAACAATATGTATCTACCGGTACTCAGTAGTCTGTCTGTTTGTGAAAATCAAGTGTCAAGAAAGGTGAAACCAAGTTAAATGTTGTACATGACCATGCCTGGGTAAAAAATGAAGAAAAGCTGAAAATTAGTTTTCGAAGGATTATCTGAGGGAATTCCACGATCTGGTCCCATTATCCAATGAAAACGTACACCATAGCGGAGCATCTCAGATCAATTAGTTTGAATTTGGAGCCAGTTTGTGGGTTCCACAAAAAAAAAAAAACTAGAAACATTGAGAGAAATTATCCATGAAGGTAGATATTCTTACCAACAATTTGCAATTGTGACAAGACCTGTTTATTTTAGATGTTTCTATTGAAGGAACAAGGAATGGCAAATGATCCATATAATATATACAAACAACTAATCACTAAGTGGCTTCTGTGTTCCTAACAACTAATACCAGAGTCCATTCATTAAGTGATATAGCTGGTTGAGCACATTAGTCAAGGGAGGTGTGGAAATACATTTTACAGTATCGTGAGATTCGATTGAACAATTTCTCATACCCAGAGAAGCATGTAGATTGTTTTAATTTAAAACTTTTAAGTGGAGCCATCAGTTGCCACAGTGGTACAAGGAATCCACTGTGGTGTCAAGAAACCCTTATTTGAATCTTTGCACTGTTTTGATTCCCTAAATATCAAATGAGAAATGGCATTTAAACATTGTCACTGGTAGCATAGTGGTTATTGCAACAGACTCATGATTGGTAGACCCAAGTTCAAATCCTACCTTAAGCTGCACATCAAATGCGTCGACCCCTACCCTGGGCGAGTGTGCCACAGACTCAATGGGAAGGCTGATTCCACTGGTCGAGATTCATTCACGACTCATATGCCACTCTGGGGAACCTTGGTTAAGGTCCGCAGATGCTTGTGTTCGACCATGGAGGTTCTTATTACCTCCATGGTTCGACCGAGCCTGGTTAAAACCAGGATAGCACATTAAAATTGCCATTTGATAGAGAGATGGCCACACATTGTTTTATGTAACACATCATCAGAACACGCGAGCATGTACAAGTATATTTATTCAATAATATATCATAATTGTCTCAAATATGCTGCAGTTTATTACATATTTCATTTCTGAATTGTGAATCAATGTTTTCATATTCCATGGTTGTTTTTAATTTATATGATAACATATCAGCAGTGTTACAAGTTTTTGTTATCCAAACATCTGTTGACACACACGTGCAAAGTTCTCAAAGTAGTGATCCTTGAAAGGTGATCCAGCCACTAAAATAATGAAGTGTGGAGTGTAAGGATGAAGTGTATACCTGAAAAGATAACAGAGTTAGAGTCATTAGTGTTGTTCTTACTGGACAAAATAAGCCGTTGTCACAACACCTTTTATTTGAGAACGTTGTTAAAATGTGTGTGTGAACAGAATACGCCGTTGTGGCGTCGGCAATTTTTTTGACACCATCGTAAAAGGGGTGGGCCAGATCCTAAACGCTGTTGTCACACTGGCTCTTGCACAATGCAATGTGCCATGTGAACACAACACGCCCTCTATCGCCGACTTATTTATGCTTGTCAGTACACGAGATGGCGTCAGAGGTTACAGGTCGAAAGAAACGAGATTACTGATATCTGTATGGAGAGAATCGAATATTCAAAGAATTATGGATGGAACATCTAGGGGTGCTAGAGTATATCCTCTGATTGCAGAAAAAGCGGCTGAAAAGGGGTTAGACAGAACGTCATTACAATGTCAACGGAAGATCAAAACTTTATGTATAAAGTACAGAGAAGTGACAGCACAATCCTCAAACACCGGCCTTTTTACTATTGAAAACGCGAGCAGACAATTTAGCAGATTATCAAATATTTGCACAGCAAAAAAACAGTGTTAACACTGGCATTTTTTAGACGTGTGAGAACGTAGTTAATAACTGAAGAGATTACATAAATACACTGGTGGTAAAATGCCCATGGTAACTATGGCTACAGATTTTGCAACAAATCAAACCACCTTCAATACCATCAGAAGAGGGTGTTTTATGTAATGGTTGCTTATTTGAAAATAAGTTTCAAAACTTTATATCTAAATCCCAAATTACCGGTACTTTATTAATGGTGGCCCGTGCTTACTGGTAGTCTCATCTCAAATGAACATGCACATTGTTATGTAACACAAAGACTTGTGACATAAAAAGCTACTACACATGTCTTTTTAAAAAAGAAGTTAATCTCTTTACTGTTCGCATAAGTGAGATACATCATGGAAGTGCACCATTGCACAAATATTGCTTATTTTGTCAAAGCGATAATATCTTGAAATATTTATATTTTATAAAATGCTTCAATCCAGGTAACTAAAAACGGCTTTTACTATTATTCACTGGGTTTCAGTTAATTTTTTTTAATACTGCAGAGATATTCACTAGGTTTCAAATTCACTATCTTGGGGAAAACAATATCATGTGCTAAACAATAAATAATTAAGTACTTACCCTTTCATTGTGATTGCCTCAGCCAGTGTCATGTCAGGCATAACACGGTTAAGCTTTCTAGAACTCATATCTTCATAATATATCTGTGAAATAATGAAAACAGTTTATTTTATTCTAGATATGGAGAGTCGAAAAAACATATAAAATTGTACATATACCTATAAAATTGTCAACTTGTACACTTCAAAATATGTCAACATGAAAACCTACATACAGAAATAAATCAGTGCAACATACCTTTATATTCTTTCTCTGCTCCCCAAGCAGCCTATCACCATAAGTGTTACATACCTCCATTCTCTGCATACCAAGCAGCCTATCACCATAAGTGTTACATACCTCCATTCTCTGCATACCAAGCAGCCTATCACCATAAGTGTTACGGGGTACATACCTTTATTCTCTGCATCCCAAGCAGCCTATCACCATAAGTGTTACATACCTCTATTCTCTCTGCTCTGTATTTCTTCTCTGCATCCCAACCAGCATATTCATCTTCTTTGAACATTTCATTCAAATGCTCAACAAATCTGAATTAAACAAGAGTATGAATGGAGGCAGTTTAAATGACACTCTAAGTAAAAAAGAGATCGTAATTATTTAGCTTTTGCTCTGAGTGCCTGCAAACATTCAATCATACCATAATAGTTGAAAAGTTGCATTTATTAGGAATACTGTAAAATACTTTATTTTCACTTAGAATTAATTTTCGCTATTTTCGCTGAAGTAATAATTCAGTGAAAATAAAATCCAGCGAATATACTTTTTTTCCTATAATATTTTACATTCAACCCGCCAAAAATCAGTGAAAATAAATTCCAGCTAAAATAAAGTATTTCACAGTATACAATTGTCTGTAGAGGCGTTAAAATTTAGATAGATAGGAATAAAATTTGTGTTTGTGTTGCTATGGTTACCTGTGATTCTCATTGAAATCTGCAATGATATCGGACTGAGCATACTCTGGGTATAGAAACAATACTGGCCAATGAATAACTCCATCACTGTCAATAATTGGTTCATGTCCACTACCCTCAGAGTAATCTTCAGGTGCCTCTATGTTTTTAATAGTGATGCCACGTTGCTGTAAAAGTAAAAACATATATTTAAAATAGCGAGCTAGGAGCCTCTATTGATAGCAAAATGACTTGTATATATTCTATTGTTTTCAGTGTAGGATGTGTAATACCTCGGTACTGTTCAATAGCATGTAAGCATGGGGTGTACATTTCAGAAATGAACATACAACTGATTGAAACATGGGGGTCACTCAGTCCCACTCGTAACTTTTTCTTCCTGCTCCCTTGCTGGGCAAAGGACTTCATCCTGTCCCCCATTACAAGGACGAACGCCCACTTTCTGGCTTTTCCTTTGTATGGCATGGCAATTTATGAACACCTTTGCCCAATGGTCACCAGTGGGAGTTTTAAAGGGTGACCCCTTGCCCAATTTTTTTGTGTGTATTTTTATTGTGTAATCTTTCCATTAGTGGTTATGTCAATGCATGTATTTTATTTCTTTATAGCTGACTTGTTTTAATAAATTGTCTTACTTTTAATCTGGTGTGTAGTGTCTTTAAAAATTTTTGGTTTGTGTTGGCACAGACCTGGTTTGTAAAGACACGGCCCCTGAGCTTGATGCAATTCCAGGATTCACACCTTTTTGAGTTAACCAATCAGTTTGCATTAATTTTGACCATACACAGGGCTCCTTTTTTAACCAATCAATGTAATTCTATTAGCCAATCAGTGCTGTCTTGCATAGCATCTCTCCTTTGATGCAACTTATTTGCGTGAACGTTCTTGTCGGCTAACCCACCAACCAACCCCATCTTACCTCCTCTTCTGGTCATTTTTCACCCCACTATTTGGCAAAGAATTTCATCTGGTCCCCCATTACAAGAACAAACGCCCACTTTCTGGCTTTTCCTTTGTATGGCATGGCAATTTATGAACACCTTTGCCCAATGCTCACCAGTGGGAGTTTTGAAGGGTGACCCCTTGCCCAATTTTTAGTGTGTATTCTTTCCTTTCTTACTTTTAATCTGGTGTGTAGTGTCTTTACAAACTATACTATGTACGACTGTGAAAAGATACCCAATTCAAATACCATATTTCATCTATTAGAAGTACAGCTCTAATATACCGGATTCGACTGATACCCCGCCCATGGGCACTATTTCAAATAGTGGGCGATGTTTTAGTCCACACATTGTCTGACTGAGCCAACAAACATTTTAACAGATCCCAATTTTGCCGTCCGACATCTTGCATCTTTCGTACTGTTTCAAATATGATGCTAAAAAACAATTTGAGTTTGAGAAAACATAACACAAAACGATTTTCTTTTGGTATACTCTTTCGTAGGATGTATTGGCCCTGAAAAGGGCAATAAAATTATAGTACATGTACAGAGTATTCATACGATGTTGACACGAGAACAAAAGAATTAGTTTAAAACGTCGCCCCTCCTCCATTTAATTTTGGTTTGTATGTTGCATGTATATTAGATCATTAAAATGACTCCATAGACACACCCTCTGTTATAAGTGCATATATTAGAAATAACAGTGCAAATTAAAAAAAAATACAATTTTTTTTTTCTTCTGATTGTACGAGTTTGATGACTTCACTTGATTATTTATACCAATTTGATTCTACCAAAGAACTGAATATTTGATTTCAGTAAAATGTGTAAACCTGAGTGTGCATACCTGTAAACCTTGTGTACAAATGCTGGCATCTCACATTGCCAAAGATAGCACGCTTTAATACACATTCGCTGAACAGGACCAAGATGTAACATTTTATACCAACCTGTATGGCAGTTTCCAACACTCGCTTTTCTTCAGCTTTTTGCTTCATTTTCTTTGCCTTTATCCTTTCATCTCGTTCTTGTTTTCGCTGAAATCAAAACATATACATTTATTTAGATGGTTTATTTGAAATATTTGATATGAATTAATAATAATAATAATTAAATTTTTGAGACTGAATACACTTTTTTTAGTTAAAAGGTGCTGTAGAAAAATATATAGGTTGAGAATTTCAGTGACTATATTACAAATTGATTTGTAAAAAATATTGTGATCACCATCATCAACTAACAAGAGTATTGGCTGTTGCTTTGTCGAACAGGTTGGGACTATAGATTGTTGATACCTATTTATTTTAAAAGTGTCAAAGAAACGTCTCAGGTCATGAGTGGAAGCTAAGTGTCTTCTCAGGTCACGAGTGGAAGCTAGGTGGCCTCTCAGGTCACGGGTGGAAGCTAAGTGTCTTCTCAGGTCACGAGTGGAAGCTAGGTGGCCTCTCAGGTCATGACTTAGTAGCTAAGTGGCTTCTGAGGTCACAAATGGTAGCTAGGCGGCCTCTGAGGTCACGAGTGGCATCTATAGGTGGCCTCTCAGGTCACGAGTGGTAGCTAGGCGGCCTCTCGGGTCACGAGTGGTAGCTTGGTGGCTTCCTTAGTAGGTGGCCTAGCTAGGTGGCCTCTCAGTTCATCAGTGACAGCTAAGTAGCCTCTTAGGTCATCAGTGGTAGTTAGGTGGTCTCTGAGGTCACAAATAGTAGCTAGGTGGCGTGCATGGTTAAAGATTCATTTCACACATAATTCTACGGTACATGCTGGAGGCAAGAATGAGTGAGAGTGTTGATAATCACATATATTAGATTTGTCCAGATGTCAAATTCTAAAGATGCATTCAAAAAAGTGTAAACACTGACAATTCAAAATACCATGTTTTATTTATCAATGAGAGAGAATAAATATTAAACAATATGATCCAGAAAATTAAAAAAATGCAATATATCAACAGCCAGTTGATATATCAACAGATATTTAGTCCGAAATCAGGGACTATTAATTTGGGGGTTTGTTGGTGCGTGTGTCTGGAACCATTTCTCAGACATGCTATGACCAAGCTTATTCAAACTTCACATGAAGATAATGTACGATGACTTGCATATGCACGTCGAGTTTTATAACAATTTGATCAAATATGGCTGACTGGTGGCCATTTTGGCTCTAAAATTTGCTAAATTCCGATACTGGGTTTGTTCCTAGTTAATCATTACCTACATCTTTCATATCAAAACTGTGCCCACTATGAGATTCTGTTATTGCCCCTATCTGTGGCCACAATATCATCACATTCATTAATTCTCACTCCTCTGGTTCACCAACATTTGTCAGTAAGCTTCTTGAAAAGATCTGTGTTTTCTGGCTTAAACAAGCCCAGAATAATGTGTTCTCTTTTGTCTGAATGAATTCATGTGCCGCAGTTTTCATCCTTGACACTGGAGTTGCTGTATCATATGGATTTGGATGCTAAACAAATCGATTGCATTTTTTTTTGTCCAATTACTGGACGTTGCAAAGATCCTAGTTTGCCTTGTGAAGACATCAGGACTAAACTCCCGAAGTGTGCTATTGTTATCTCTCCATTTTTTTCAAGTGATATCAGAGTGTCTAGTTGACTCAAAGTCTCCTGACTTTCTTTATCAGCAGTTCTGCATCACTGCTGTTTTGTAATAAATTGTCTATGAATTTGTTTTGTACTTGATCAGACGTTTCTCAGTTATGTTATACTGACGTATTTCATTCTTAATTGTTTGATTCATTGTAGTCAGTTTTTATTACCCTTGGATGATCATGTTCCTCTTTTTTATCTATTGTTGCATATGAATGTTTCTTTATCATCTGTTCTTGAATTACAAGTTGTTTCGTTCTTTGGACTGTATTTCCACATCTTTCCTGCTTTGTTGCACTTCAATCAGTTTTGTATCTAGATCTTGAGCATAGCTTGCCAGTAAATCATGGTGTCTATGTGCTACCATCTGTAAATCTGTCACGATATGGCCTCTGTGCTCAAACGACATCAAACATATATCGCAGATTGATACCAGCTGACATTTCTCACAGTAAAATCCAATTATTTTATCTTCAGCTTTTCTAAACTGCTCAGCAGCAACAATGCGATGATGTCGCGTGATACGCACCTGCTTGTTGATAGATTTTCTACACAATCATGACATGTTCTGTCACCTTGTTGATTTTCCTGTTCCTCAACCAGCATTAGCACAGAATTTGTCAAGCTACTACGTGGGAGTTGTTGAGCATTTCTCACAGTGTCTACAGTTAGGACAACTCAGTGTGCCATATGGATCAATCCAACTGTACAAACATCGCTCATAGAAGGAATAACAACATTTTTTATATCATTTCTTATATCGCTCCAAACAGATAGAACATGCCAGTACATGTAGTTGGTCATGATTTTGTTAACAGGTATTTTTTCTCTAATTTTGCTGTGTTACCTTAATACTGTATGTGTATCGAGTTCATATTTACATAGCAGACAAAGCTCATATCCAGTGGATAATGTTCACTTGGCAAACAGCCAGGATGGTACATGTGTCCATGGAAAAAGGTGGTGCATCATTTATTTCTTTCTTTCTTTCTTTTTTGTTTCAACCTCTGGTTCAATTCTTCATGTGATAACAATGTCATTCCTATCATGTGTACCACCAGAAGAATACCAAAAATTTCATTCATTGCCATGGTGATTAAGGGCTATTATTTATCCAAACTTATTTTTTTTTTAGCTTTAGCATTTTTGTGTGTGTGTGCATTGTATCCATTATCATTTATTCCAATAGATGTAAAGTGATTAAAAATTCAATAATGCTATTGTGAGAACCCTGTACTTATACTTGTTTTGCGTGCACATAAGTGTGCAGAAATAAGAGGACCATATTTTTATAAATAAAAGCACATAATCAGATGCAACTATAAATGACATCACAGAATAAAATTATCAGTATATGAGTTTTTTTCTAGGAAATACAATATTATTTTAAATCTGTGCAGACTCACCTTTCCCTGGTCTGCGAGTGTTCTGGTTTCTAATAGTTTCTTATCTGTGGGACTGATTTACATGGAAAATTAAGGAAATACACAACACCCTACATGTTTCATGGGCTTATTTTATCTTATTTACTTTCATGTATAGCTGTTGTCAAGTTCTAGTCAAATTGGTTTTTATATGCTAATTATTTATAGGTCACAGTGGATAAAAGTGACTATGAATGTTACAGCAGTGATTTTGTACCATAATTATGATAATAAATTTCTTATGTATGAAGATTTCATTCATTAAATGCCAAAATACACAAACAGGAAAACAAAACCAATAAACAAGGATTATTTTGGGACAGTTTGCACATGACAATTGTCTTCAATTGTACAATCATGTTTCTAGGCAAAAAAGGATATTTTAAGTGCCATGTCACACCAATCTAAGCATTTTTCATATTTTCGCAACTTCAGCAAACATTCTGCTCCTCGTATTAATGCCTTTAAATGATCAGGTTTCAGTTTTTTGGCTCTTGCTACATCCATCATACAGGACTGGTAGTTTTCTGAAAAACAAAACAAAAAAATGTTAACCGAAAATGCAAAGTTATTAATGATCAAATTCATGGATATTACAAAACGTGGCAACTTTTATCAAATTTCTTGATTTAATTATGTCATCATTGATGTCATAACTTTCAGTTTAGCTATATAAAACATAATATGTTGCAATAATCACTCTTAGTAATGAATAAGAAAATAACACACGTGTTTCTATGGTGATGACACTAGTACAATATGTGTTTAATTAGTAGCACATGTATATACATACATGTATGTAATTTTTGCATTTGGAGATGTGCTTCTAAAAGAGCAAATATTGTAATTATAATGAGACGCTCACAGCGACCAGAAACATGAATATTTCTTTTTAAAATATAGGGAATGAAAATAACAACTATATTATAGCATTACCAATACCAGTAGATTTTATGACATCATTGCAGCAGATTATTCGCAATAATGTATGGTCCATTGCCAATAACAGCGGATATCAATATTAAAATCAGACAATTTTGTGAGAGCATCGTCGTCTTCTCTGTACTCTAAAGCACGCTCGGTCAAAGCGCTCCATCTAGTAAGCGTGCTTCCAATTTCCAGGACTAATGCCGCTATACTGGTGGCTTCTAGACGAAGTCGCTCTATTGTGTCGATGAAGTGAGATTAACTGAGGGTGATTTAGTCAAGCAAATTCAATAAACGAGGTGGGGGGCGTATGTCTACGAGTACAGAGAAATGAATTTGTTCTGTTTTTGTAGTGAGTAGTACTACACAATTTGCGAAACGAGATCACCGAAAGACCGCATGACTTTTATTTCCTCAGCGTCGAATTCCCGGTAAATGTCACAGTTCGTGGCACAGTTTGCATAAACAAATGAAACTATCCGTGTGCTTTTATACAGTCACTGCTGGTGCCTCTTCTAGAATGACTAACACCCACTAGCATTTCTGCAGCCATGTTTGGTTTGGCTTCAAAGTATCACCTGCCTCCCGTAGAATTTGAAAATAACTATTACACAGACAGGACAGTTGTCAATAACATCTACCTTGAAGGTCTAAAAACATCCATGGGATGGGGTAATGATACGACTACATACATGTACCCCGAGTACGCACCCCTATGCATGGTCGATCCAGTCAGTCCACTACATCGATCTAGCGCAGCATAGTGCAATGCCATGGCGCACACCTTGACAGCAATGCTATTCCACACTACACGTCAGTCACTCGCAATGTAAATGATTTAAATACAATAACATTTGTTGGATTAAAACTAGTTTCTTTCTTAGTTTGCCTGAAGAAATTGTGGCATTATAAATTATTCAGATTCACTGTGGAGTTTTTCTCCAAATTTTCCGTTTTTTTAGTGGCAGCAAATTCACTGGTAGTGACAACGCTACAAAATAATAACAATGATGAACTCCCCGACAACCCATAATGGACTCAAGCATATGTACTTGGCACTCCATATATGTACTTGGCTCACGCCTTGTAATATATGTCGCACAAAGTGAGCTTTCACTGATTATGGGTTGGCGGAACATTCACTATTGTTTAATTATAAAATCTCCTCAGATAAGATAATGGAACCAGTTCAAGAAATTTTGAATGGGAACTCATAATCTGAATACGACAAGAAAATTTGCCTTGAAAAGGTTTAGGGTAAAAAAAGACAAAAATAATAAAATCAAGAATGAAAGCAATCATTTTAGAACTAACCAATATGAAACTGTGCAGCAGCTCTGTTCGTCAGTAGAATAACTTTTAATAAGTCGTCATCAAAATTCTCTTTAAGTGCTTCTGTGTATGCAAACACAGCTTTCCTGTAGTCTCTTTCTTTAAAATACTGGTTGCCTTCTTCTTTATAACTCTGAGCTTTCTCTGTGGAACAAATTTGTATCATTTGATGTACCATACTTTTAGAACAGTGGTAACAAGAGATTAGTACCCTCTACAGACCACTGAGAGCTACATTGAGGTCAAACATTTTATGTTTTTTTTTACTTCTCTGTAAAATCCTAAAGAAAACACTGAAGAACATTTTATTCTATACAAAATAGGAGAGCAGAACAACAAATCATTTTGGCAAAATATTATTAATAACAAACGAGTATGGAAGTGACCACTTTCTAATTTGGCCATAAAAAGATAGTGTTGGCATCCAAAATCTAGGCAGGCCAGTTAAATGGAAACACACAATTTTTTTATTTGGCTTATTAATCTGTGTCCTCCTATCAGCTTGAAATCAACTCATAGCAGGAGATACAAAAAAATGAGGGTAGTGAATTCAAATACTGTTTATTTTCGCTTGGAATTTATTTTCGCTGAAGGGATGATTCTGTGAAAATAAAATCCAGCGAATATACTTTTTTTCCTATATTTCACATTAAACTCATCAAAAATCAGTGAAAATAAATTCCAAGCAAAACGCCCAAAAAGCCTTTTCAGCGAAAAATTAATTCCAGCGAAAATAAAGTATTCCACAATAGATCAATCCAGAGTTGCAAGTCTAAAGCAAAACATGCTACCATAGAAATCTAGCATAGAAAAAATTCTGTGACAAAGGGTACAATAACAATGTTTTTTTACTGGAGTTTATAAGAATGCTAAAAGATGTAAGTAATTACCTACTGGCGTGGAATCTTCATCATATTTTATTTTTTGTATTGCAGCTAAGGCTGGATTATTAGCATAGTCAGCTTCATTGGGAGATTTGGTCATAAAGAGTGGAACATTCTCTATTTCCTAAAAAATACAAACATACTAGTAGTAACTTTATAAAATACAACATAAAAAGTCAAACAAAAAATATTAAATAGCTGACTACATAATACCATGGACGGGAAATATTTTCTGGGATTAATATTAGCAGACTTGGCATATTCACTAGGTTTTAAATTCACTACTTTGTGAAGGAAACAGTTGAGTCTATTGTTAAATTTCCTTGGTTTTATTGTCTAATAGTTGTAAAAAATAGAAAACACAGTTTGTCTTTTTTTGTCTTCATTTAAAGGGAGGTGGTATAGGGTTCACAGCAACATACACAATAAAGATAGTAATTATTTATTTATGTCTTTAGCCCAGTTTTAATCATTTTTTTTATAAATCCACAGGGCCAGTTACACTGCTATAAATTAAAATATAATTTGTAAATACAAATAATGTTTTCATCCTTACTATTTAAAATATTTATTAATAATACCATTGTATTTGTTGTCTTGAGGCAATCTAGTGTTTTCTGAACAAACTGTCTTTTTCCTTAGTGTATACATGTAACTGTCATGACAGCAAGAAATATTTCTTGTTTTCAATCTTTTTCCTAAACTGAACATTTCCTATCACAGATTGGTACGGCAATGGACAGTTATTCTCAGTTTGTCATAGAAAAATGATATAGCCTTTCTATTTATCATTTGCAAGTATATTTTCCAGAAAAAAATTTGTTTAATTTTCTGTAATTATTGTTATGGTTTGCCTTTTTCTTGTCATTGTTATAAATTCTTTAAATCTTTTCTGGCATTTAAGTTTTTTACAAATGTCCTTCATTAAGGCTTCTTGTATTTTAATTCATTGTTAGAAACCCAATTTGTCATACCTATGTTGTGCATTTTCAAACCAAGCTGATATGCTTTGCTCATTAGTGTATTTTCTGGCATATCCCTTATCCTCCAATAGAAACCAACCACTGAACTACCGGGGGGGGGGGG